CTCATGGAATCAATAAGTTCAATAACCAAGTAGATCTGCTTGCCAAACAAGCTAGACGTGAAAATCCAATAATCTGGTACCAACTATCAGAGTTAGGGACAGTTCTGACAATAGCCACATGGAGTGAGCACATGATAAACATCAGTATTAGAGAATTCGTCAAGACATTTAACAAGAAAAAGATAGAAAAATATTGGACACACAGAAAAGGATTCAAGAACTGTGGATCCAAAATAACAAAATCATAGACTGATTGATCTTCTGGAATTAGTTCAATCCATTCAACACCTTTGATACCTCTTTTAAAGATAATAAAGACAAAAGCTTCTTAACTAACTTGACCCATAATGAACTTCCAGTATTACAGATATTGAAGAAAAGAAAACCAGATATTTATACCATAACAACATGTCCGGTATATGAACTTCAAGAAGAAACTTTAGAACACTTGTTCGAATATTCAGTCACTAAAGAAATCAGAGAGGATATATGGAGAAAAGCAAAGGAAAAGATCAATCAATATATCAGTAAAGAAATCAAAAACAAAGAAGAAGTCCACCTTGCAACCAATAACTGGACAAGTAAATGGTTGAACAAGATTCAGCAATCTGATAAAAGCCTTTTTGATACTATTTGTAGATACATATAAGAGAACAAAACTACTTCCTTGAAGAATTACCTCAGAGTATAACTCAAGATTCCCTGATAGTCACACAAAGCATAATCGGTAAGCTTTGTTATAAAATGAGGAAAAATTTCAAGAAGAACATATGGAATAGTCACTGCAAAAAAGTTATAGAGTGAAAAAAGAAGCAGAATATTACTGAAAAGAACAAACGAATCAAAAAACATGGGCACCGATCCATCATGCAGGTTATACAAGAACAGGAAGAAGAATCCACACTTGCAGAAGATCCAAAATAAGAAGTCTCTGAAAGAAAGGAGGAAACGAAGTATATAGAAATCATCAAGAATTGGATTTGTTATGGAAGGAAATGGTTTGGTTTTTAACTGCAGTTGGAATTTAGAATGATCTACAGTAATGACCTGTAGACAATGATTTTATTGACTAGAGGATTTATCCAAGTCAGTAAAGGAGCGAAATATCATTCCCTAAGTTGCATTTAGAGAAATAGTTTTTTGACGACAGGTGAGTTAGTATATGAAAGTCAAAATAATTTGTAAATATCTGATATATATACAATAAAGACAAGCCATGCTGATCTGACTGTGGATTAAAAAAAAAAAAAAAAAAAAAAAAAAAAAAAAAAAAAAAAAGAATAAAGAAATTAAATAATATGTATTATATAAATCATTACTTTGTTCTAATAATTAGATCGATCTACTTTATAAACCAATGAAACATATCTTATATTACAAGTGTCACATAATCTAAAATAGAGCTATAATAATATAATAGACAAGAACTATAAATAATAATTAAAGGAAAATATGACTATTGATTAAGGTTAATAATCAATAGTTACACCAACTCTTTCCCGTTTACCTGTGAGGCAGCAACACCTCAGGTATAGTAAAAGAGCAAAGAAAGATAAAAAGATTCAAATGACTGCAATATATTAATAGTAGGCCAAACTACAATATCAAAAAGCTAAGCAAGGGTATGGCAATCACATAGTAGACAAGAAAACAACCACTTCAGACAAGAAATCCATTAATAACAAAAAACCAAAGACTACCCACAATCCATCCCCAGCTCAATAAACATCTATCAGTACAGATAACAATTTTGGAAAAAACAAATAAGCGGATAAGGACATTGTATCAGAAAACTTTGTACTCAATCAGGCAAACAACATATAGAGTGAACAAGTTGAACTCGAACAAAGTCAGAAAGGAATTCCCATCACAAATGTACTGAAGGAAACCACTAGTACCCTCCTCCCCACGGCCAGAATAGATGACTCAGACATAAAAATGAATTGCAATAAAGTACCTGAAAATGATTAGATACCTGGCAGGAAGTCAGCAAGAACAAAAATAAAGGTAAGAAAATTTATGCATAACTCTCAGGCATCAGACCTCACCAAAATCCCCTTTCAACTATCAAATATGATATGGCAGAGAATGAATCAAATTGGGCATCAAAACTGAAAAGCTATCAGGACAAACAATTCATCAAAAAATTACT